TGAATGACCATTTAATTTTGCTTTTTATTATCCTGTCTTAACATCCCATAAGCGGATAGAGTTATCACAGCTACCTGAAGCTAATGCGGTACCATCAGGAGAGAAATTGACTGACATAACATAATCTGAGTGACCATATAATATCGCTTTTTATTATCCTGTCTTAACATTCCATAAAAGGATTGTATTGTCTTAACTTCCAGATGATAAGGTTGTACCATTAGGAGAGAAACATACTGAATTGACTTTCTCAGAATGACCATCTAATCTTTGTATTTATCTTCTTGTTTTAAGACTCCACAGATACACAAATTATCTGCTACTAAAAGTTAATATAGTATTATTGTGTGAGAAACATACTGATTTTATCTTCCCATTTCCCCTGATTTTTGACATTATTTTTCCTCTTTTAAAATCCCACAAAATAATCGAATTATCATTACTACAAGAAGTTAAGGACTTAAAATCTGGAGAAAAGCAAACTTAATTAACTCTAAGACTATGACCCTTAAATTAAATTTCATCATTTATACTTAAACTCCTCCACTTACAATTAAATAATTTGGCTTAATTCAAATTCACTCCAGCGATAATGACATTGTCTAATTTAGATCCACTTAAATCACATCTTACCAAATTGGCTCCTATTATTGAAGTATTTCTTATTCTAATATTCTGAAAACTTGATTCCTTCAAATCAACTTTCATTTAAATTAATAAATGAAGACAATTTGATCCACTCTAAATGTAACTCTCATCTATGGCAGTAAGATGAACCATATATTTTAGAAATTCAATTATATTCTTATCCCATGATATTTTTATGATCAGATCCTTTTTAATTTCTTCATAACCATCTGTAGAGTAATTCTGTTTATTAAATTCATGATCCCTAATTTTTTTGAGAATATCTATTATTCTTTTAATGTTCCTCTCTCCATTGAGAGTCTATTCTTTATTTAACAGAGATAAATTTTATACTTTTTATCTTTATATTTCAAAAAGGAATTAATTTTGATCTTTTGAGAGAAATTCTAGGCAGTGTTATATTCTCTCTTTTTTTAATATGTTTATGAGGATAGGGAGGACTACTTCATCAACTTCTTTGGATAAGGCCAAAACCTTATACAACTCTCCAATTTACTCTTTTTTGTGGTACATATAACAATAATATTGAATTTCTATTACTTTATTTTGATTCATATAAAATGAAGTAAAATGTATCTTGCATAATTTTTTTTGTAAATTATATTAGTGAAAACTTCCATAGACTTATTCACAACTGGATTCTTAAAGAATATCGAATAAAAAGGGGTTGGTATATAACTTTTTTTTAGTATTTGTAATTTTTTTCTGGTTTGTCATGACTGGCTATACTGTCTCCCTATATGGCGCCAATAATAAATCCGGGTGTTAGAAATAATACAATTTTGACGATCCCCATTTGGGATAGTCCATGAAATCGGCAATTCCGATGAAATAGGTGATGAAATATAATTGATAAGTGATAAAATAGGTGATGAAATAGGCTAGTTAATACGTAATGAAATAGGTGATCATATATGCAATGAAATAGATTTAGAAATAAGCAAAGAAATAGGCTGTAAAATACGTGATGAAATAAGTGAAGAGATATCCCAAATTAATATGGAATATATTAAGAGGCTTATTTACGAGATGGAATAGGTAATGAAATGTAATAGGATGCTTAATAAGGGATATGATAGGTGTTGTAAAAGAAGAATGGCATAATATACTTTATTTTCTAAAGTTTTATTTAATTTATGAAATAGGGGATAAATAAGTGATGAAATCTGCAATTAAATAGGCAATGAAATAGGGGATTGAATCGGCGATACAATAGTGGATAAAATAGGGAATGGAATAAGCAATAATGAAAGAAGCAGTGTAAGAAAGTAAAACGTAAAAATAGAAATAAAAAATTCAAAATCATTTTTAAAACTTTCTATAAAAAGTCAAGAGAATACATTAGGGATAAATAGTAGACGAACAATCATTTTGAATTCTCATGATATTTAAACAGAAAATTATATTCAAAATATCATTTTAATACTACGATGAAATACGAAATAAAATATGGGATGATGTGAATAATGTAAAAATGAATTATGATTTTGAATTCTAATGATATAAAATATCATTTAAAACTCCAATTAAAAAGCCTTGATAAAAAAATTGGGAATGAGATAGGGGATGAATTAAGAAATAAGTTAGCGGATGAACTCCTATATAGGATAAAATAAATAACAATGTAATTATTATTTTGAATTTTAAGGATGATATTTGAACAGAAAATTATATTCAAAATATCTTTTAAACTTCCAATTAAAAGTATATTGATGAACTAGGAAAATATAGTTTTGATTTACAGGATATGATTATCATGAATCCTAATGTTAGCATTCAATTTTACAACGCCTGAATGGTTAAATCGAACTTCTTTCTGATCAATTGCCATATAGAAACAATATAAATATAATAAACACCCCCCAGGAGCGAAAATAGCAGTACGATACTTATTGTGGCTGATTTTTGCACATTGAATTATAAGTTTGAAAAACTATTGCAAAAGTTTGAATTATAAAAAAGCGAAAGACTTTTTGAGTCCTTGCTTTAATTTTTATTGGAGTTTCTTCCTTTGCAATTATCATATAAACAAAAGTACTAGAAAGTGTACTAGGCTATTATTAGAATTAAGCAAAAAACTGCACATAAAATCATATGTCCTTTAATATAAGGGGTTTGTGTTTATATTGATCATAAGATTTAAAAATTTTCATTTGTTGATATATTGAACCCAAATAATATTGAACCGAATGCAGAAAAATTGGGTAAATTTTCTTTTTTATGTTGTACTTTGGTTACTTAAAGGCACAAAACTGCAAGAAAATATCAGAAATTATTTCAACACTTTATTGCATATATTCTGCCTCACAAGGTTTGCGTTTGGACTCAATACTGCATGCATGCCATTAAACACAACAATAAATTTGCAAGAACTTCATGATTGAAAAATATTCACGGCTTACAATTTTTACAATAATTGATTCACATTGAAGTCAAAAAATGGTCAAATAGTAATCTGTATACTGAAAAATTTATTAGATAATAAATTCCTCACAAATGGATTGAATACATAGCGAGTTAAGGAAATGTAGCAATATAAATATTATACTCAATCTTTATCTTACTCACTAACACCAGGTTTTGATGTTATAGAAGTAGGACCCAATATAAATGTATGTTAATATTTTAACAAATTTCATAAGTAGAAAAACAGGTTAGCAACCACTTCATACAATGAGCATGCTTTATTTTAATATTTGAAACTCAAGAAATTAATTCCTTCGCATTGAAGATTCCTTAGAATTTGAGATCTAGAAGTTCAAATGCTAAGTACACAATATTTGTATAAACTGCCACTCATTTACTCTCGGGTATTATAAAAAGTATAAAGTACTTAATGGAGAATTTCTTATAAATGTTTAGTTTTTGAAAAACAAACACTTATGTTAAGCAGTGGAATAATATTCATTAACAGATATCTGCTTACATTTAAAGTACAAATATGTTTCAACCTGCCGTTAAAGTGATACTGCTATTTTGTTTAATGCAATTATTTGTTTTTGTAAAAAGTCATAGGATGACACTGCCTTCTTCAAAAGTATTTTTTTTATCACAAAGTCCAGGCCTTATATTCTCATCATGAAACTCTAAGGTTCTATTTGAGGACATTAAATGAATAAA